ACAGGAACACCATTTTCTCACCCTAAACTATTTCCCCAACAGCGTCAAATCTCAAGAAAAACCCTGCTAAGGTAACACTTCAAATGCACTGAAAGCTCTCATCCATCACCAAAATCACTCACGACCGTTTATCTGATGCAACAACTTTCAAAACTCGATGACGAAACTCCAAAATTATCGAACATCACCCCAAACTAGTAACTGAAGTCAGGTTTTTCGCAACTTCTTCATATCCATCCCCAGCTTCACAATCTTTCATGTCCTCCCCTTGTTGCTCTTCAGGGTCACAACCGTCATATTCCCCAATCGACGGCTGTTCTTGCGCCACCTGTTCGTTATGAGCCATCATCTGCATCAAGATCTGCTCTGGCTTCAACCCATCAAGTCCAGACGGCGGCTTCTCGAACCTGCCCGAGTAAATAGAGTCGAGCATGTTGAAATACGGGCACGTCTTCGAATCCTCTGGCCTTTTCCTGTTCCCATCCTTCACTCTCTTGTAATACTTATTTATATTCTCCCATTTCTCCTTGCACCTCTTGGCATTCCTCTCATACCCGAGCTTCTTCATGCAAGACGAGATCTCCTGCCAAAGGGGGCCCTTCGGCCCGCTGTCCTGGTACTTCATATCAAGATCCATTTTCAGCATAATCAAAGCCTCGACTTCTGCCTTAGGCCACCGAGTGGACCCCGCCTGAGTAAAATTCGTCTGAGCGAAATTGAAATTCACCTTAGTAGTAGAAGTTTCACCACGCGGCTGTAAGTAACCCATCTTCTCCAGGATATCATGTTCTTGCTTTTCCGAAATCTTCTTTTCCAATAAAGAGAGGTCGAGAATTTCGGTGTTGGTCTCTTGGGCAATCTTTTTCAGAAAGGCGAGCACAGCTGCATCTTTGGCCGCGGAAAGTTCTCGTTCTTGGGCGAGAAGCTCCTGCTCTTTCTTGATGCGGGCTGTCTCTTGGGCTTTCCAGGCCTCCTCGCGGGCCACGCGTTCCTTCTCGCACCTCTCAATGGCTTCCAGAAGCTTCCGCTGCAGTTCTTCCTGCTTCTCGAGGACATCCCTCATCAGCCGCTCGAAGTAGTCGGCCAATTTCTGCTTTTTCTTGATGTTACCTTCAGTTTCCTCGGAAGAAGAGGCGGTGGAGGTGGAGGAACAAGGTATGGTGAAATCTTGGCTGTTTGTGGTTGGTGTTGATTTATGAGTCTCGATGGCGAATGTCGGAATCTGGGAGTCGAAAGGCTCCAGCTGCTCGAAGAATCTGTAGTTTCTGCCGTTGGGCGTGCTGGATCTGCCGTGTTTGGTTCGCTTGTGGTATTTGTAGATGTTTTCGAATTTCTCTTTGCATTTCTTTCCTCCCCGCTGGTACCCGAGCTCGGCTAGTTTTCTGATAACACAACAGCAAAATTGGAAACCGCTAATGAGTTTCTTCGTTTTTCAAGCTTTTGCAGCTTTTTCCTAAATGAGCTAACAATGGGAAGTATGGAAAATCCAGAATCACAACGAGAATATGTGGTCACAACTGAAATTTGAAAAGGCCAGATAAGTAAAGAAGAGACAAACACCGTGAGGATCATTCGGATTTAATTGAACAGATAATCGACCAGCCACCAAAGGGTGAGACCGAGGCCTATTTTCCTCTGTATCGTTTCTTCTTTATCAATAAATTGAACCGAATCTGATAAATAAAAATATGGAAAGAGCAGCAAAGCTACATAATATACCTTGAAACTTCGTCCCAAAGAGGAGCTTTAAGAGTGGAGTCGCGAAAAGCGAGGTCCATATCGGACCTTATCTTGAGCAGAGCCAAGGTCTCGTCTCGCGGCCATCGATTGCCGGCTGAATTGCGGTCGCCGTCCTCGGCAAGGCCGCCGCTGCCACCTTCATTTCCGAGTTCCGGCGCCCCCCCTTCGTCGGAGGGCGAGCCACCGCCGCAAATTTCGAAGAAAGAAGAACTTTCCAGCATCACTCGAGCTCAACCTGCTTAAGTATTAAAACAGTTCAATTCTTACCGATCAGAAAATAGCTCAATTCTTTCAACCCTGGGTGACGGCGTCTTTAACATTTCAGGTAAAAATAAAAACACATCTTATCGTTTTCTTTTCTTGATTGGGGCTGTTTTTTATTTATCGGCTGCTATTTTTAGTCTTTCACCGATTCTACTTTTTTTTGGAATTTTTTCCTATCACACTCATTATTTTACCCCCCATCAAGTTTTGAGTGATTTTTCTCAAGGTGGTGATAGGTGAAGTAGGGTTTCATTAGGGAGGGATAAAGATAAGAGGCTGCGATCTGGTGTGGTCAAAGGCTGATAACATTAATTACGTGTATGAAAACGATTGGTTTAAATTCAAACTCCCCCTTATTTTCACTTTCGTTTGACAAAATTATATCATCATTAATTCAATAATGTTTAAAAATTATCGAACACCTAGGTAACTAAAATTCTGAGCCAAAATATAAAACCCAAATCCAAAAAGGAAATCGCAAGAGATAATGTTACATGCTTGGATACAAAATTTCTCAAAAAAATCTAAATATTTTTAACTCAACCACTTTTTTTAACTCAACTCGCTATCTTCAATATTATCAATATAATTAAATAGTATCAATCAATCATTTTTACACACCACCTTACCTTAATTCATTATTCATCCACTCACATAATTTTAACTAACCATCACTTCAAATCTTCTCTCTCTTACTTTACATCAAATCAACTTTAATTATTTTATTTTAAATATTATTCTAATATACCCACTAACAACTAACCATACCAACTTTTTCAAAATTAACCAAACCAAAAAAAAATCCAAACAAAATCAAAATTTTATATATCCAATCATCCTCTTAGTTTAGGTAAAAGACTTGATTTTGGAAAATGGACTAGGGTGGAATGAATGACTAGTAAGATAGGTCTTTGATGAATCCAATAGCAATGTAATCTTTAACATCAACTCTCTTAATCTTGATTTCTCAGACTGGTTTTACTGGTGATTGGAAAAGAAAGAGCATTTTTCAGTTGCTAGCACTTATAAATATTTGTCTAATCAAAAGTTTCTGTGTCCGGATCAACCTACTAGTAGCTCTTCTACTAGTCTCAGAAATTTCTCTTTTTTCAGATGTTGGCACTTGAAGGTTGCTGGGAAACTTAAACACTTTCTATTGAAGTGCATTTCTGAGACCCTCTCAGTAGCTGTTAACTTGAAGAAGAGAAGGTTGGCTATTGACACCATTTGCAGGCAATGTGGTGCAGCCCCGAAGACCATTGAACATGTGATAATCTCATGTTCTAGGGCCAGCAAGTTATGGGATTTAGCCCCTATACACTGGGATGGCATCAACAACTCAACTGGCTCCTTCAGAGTGCGGTGGCAACAGGTATGCTCCATTGGACACACATGTTACTGAGGCTAGAATCCAACTCTCCACTTACCTGCTCTAGTGGCTCTGGAAATCACGAAACCTCTGGGTTTTTCAAAATTTGCTGCTTCCAGTACATGTGGCGATTTCAGCTGCTCAGAAAGATTGAATTGCTTTTTCTTCGATTTAGTTTTCATTTGTCTTTTTCTTGTCTGTTGGTTGTGTGGGAGGCTATAGTCCTAACTAGGCAGTGGTTGGCAGTGGTTAGGTCTTAGTTTCTTATTGTTATTTTCTCTTTGTTTCAGTGTTTGAGGCTCTAGACCGCTTTCACGTGTCTCCCAGTTTGTCTTTTCGGTAGTTTGGGTCTTTCCCTTGTATTTGGACTTTGTTCATGCTTGAGTTTATATATAGATCTCTCTATCGTTTCGAGCAAAAAAAAAATTAAAAGAGGAAAAAAAAATCCTATTTTCAACCATCGCGCCCCTCCGTTTCAAAAGAATTGATCGGTTTGAAGATGGTGTCCGTCCGTGCGGCTTGGGCGTCGACCCTGCTTCCCTTTTGCTTCTTCACTGATGGTGAGTATGTGGGCAACAATATTCAGCAGCTTGGGTGTTCGGGTGGGCTATTGGTGAAGGTCACCGTCCGTATGGTGGCTGGAGCTAGCACTAGCGATGTCGTCTCCCCTAAGGTCGTTCGATTTCTGGGGTTTTGTTGGTCAGATCCACTTCCGGTATATTGTCTTTTTCTTTGGTAGGAGACACCAGTTGTCGGGTCTTGGGACTGTTTTCAGTGATCCATTTGGAAGGAGGGTTGGGTCTTGTTGCTTTGGGTCAAGATAGACATAGTCTGTCGAGTTCAGGAGTTTGGAGGTTCTAGACTGGGCAGGGGCTTGATTCTGACTTCTTTGGAGTTATCATCGCTGTCATTTTCGCTGAGGTGGTTAGGTGTTTGTGATCGGTAATGAGGATTAGCAAATAGGTTTATGTTGTTGTTGTCTTTTTTTTTGTGTGTGTGTGTGTGTATTTCTCTTTCAAGTTGTCATTTTAGTTCAACTGTCTCTAGCTACTAGTCTCTTTTATGAAGTTTGTGTCTCCTTATGAAGTTTTTTGTTGTTTTGTGGGTGATTGTTGTTAGAATATGCTGTAAAACTTTAATTTCAGATATAAACCAGTGTTCTAAAAGTCGCTAGGCGCCCGCTAGGCGCTCGACCAGTGCCTAGCGCCAAGAGCGCCTAGTCGGGGCCTAGGCGGCGCCTAGTCGGGGCCTAGAAATCAATAGTAAATATCTTATTTTTTATTTATTTTAACTACCTACAAAATAAAATTATCTCAATATATAATAAATTCACACACCAAAGTCCAAATAATAATATTAATATATATTAAAGAAAACATGAGAACAAAATAATGTAATTAGTATTTAAAAAAATAAAAAAAATTAAAAAAAAAATTGAAAAATTGCCGCCGAGCCCGCCTAGGAGCGCCTAAGTCCGCCTACGCCCGCCTAGACGCCGCCTAACCGCCTAGCCGCCGAGCCCGCCAAGGCCGCCTAGGAGTGCCTAGGCCCGCCTAGGCGCCGCCTAGCCGCCTGGTCGATTTTTTTTACCGATTTGTACAAATCAGAGGCGCCCGGGCACCACCTAGGCGGCCGCCTAGGCCGATTTTTAGAACAGTGATATAAACAATACCATTTTGATCTGGCAAACGTGTTTTGTCAAGTATTTATTTTTGCAGTTTATTTATTTATGCAATCATAACTCATTTATTTTACATTGTAGATAGTATGGTTCGTCGTGCCGAACAGAAAGATCATACTATTAGTTCCTTGTAAAATATAAACTAATTGTTCACAGTCTAGGCAGACAGTGAGACCCCTGTTGGAAAAAAGACTGTAGTATCGTCTTGATTCAGCTGGTCTTTGACTGATGGGTTACACAAGTACTTATGATAAGTATTGAACGGACCGTGGAAGGATAAGATTATAAGATTTACTGATCGTTGTTATAATCTAGACCTTCAGTAATTGATGCGTACTCTTAAGCTGTAAGATAATATGAAACGGGCATATATATTCATTACTTGTTTATTTGATTTACCAAGGGTGATTTCTATTCTATTAGGATGGCATGCTCGATATTTTGGTAAATGAGAATGTTTATATGATGTGTTGTTATAAATTATTTACAGTTACTATGTCCCAGTGCGTTGGTTGATGATATCCGCGAAATGAGCTCATGAAAGAATATTATGTCTAACCCTGCAGGTGGATAATTATCCGACATAATGATTAATGAACTGAGTGGTACTAGTTTTGGAAATGAATAAGAAGTTAATTTAATTTTATTGTCAGTGATTAAATTAATCGACGAACGTTATATTTTAAACATAGGGAGATAAATCAATCAATTAGATTAATATTTATTAATCAAGTGAAAGTTTGAATTTATTGAATAAATTGAAGCTAAATAGGGAGAACAATAAAAATTACTCTAGTGTGATGTTTTATTATTCAATTCTATTTAGGAATTAGGAATTAATTATATTCCATAATTTAGATTTCTTTAGGAGAGGAATATTCCTTCTGGAATATTATCCTAGGGTTAGGAGACTTTGAAGTCTTCTAGAAGAGTGATTAGGGTTAGGAGGAATAGGACTCCTAGATGGGAAAGGATATTGAGCATAATTAGTATTTCTAAACCTAATGGGATAAGCCCATATTTAGTACCATCTCAAGGTCCCTAATGTAGCCTATAAATACACCATGCCCAACCTCTTTCCTACATGCATGATAGCTCAATTTTGAGGTTCCATTAGGAAGAGGAAAATTGTGTTCTTGATATATTCGAGAGTTCAGGAGTTTCAATTAATCGCACCACCAAGATTAGTCGAAGTAGGAGTTTAGGTAATACATTAGAAGATCTTAAGATGCGATTTATTCGAGCCTTTACATCTTAATTATTCTGGCCAGATCCACCGCCGTCTGCCGCCGTCGACCACGGCCGTGAGTCGCCAAAAATTGTCGCTGCCTCCCGTCGCCGTCGGTGACCACCAGCGCCTAGCCGCACATAGCCGCAAGCCAGCGCCCGCAGCCAGACGCTGCCGCACGGTCGCAGCATCACCGACCCACACGCATGCAGTCCCTGTCCGCGCGCGCAACCACCGTCTGTGTTTCTCACGCGGGCTTGTCTACGCTCATTCACCTGCGCGTGTCTTCCGTCAACGCGCACAACCATCGCCTGAGATTCGCCCGCCCGTCTACCTTGCTGTCCACGCTTGCGCGCCCCAGTCCGCGTCGGCATAAAAGAGCCGCACCGCACGCGCTCGAGTACCTCGCTGTCGACCCATGCCCGCAACACCTATCCGTGACGCGCCCAGCCAGTGAGCCGCACTCTGTCTGCGACCATCCCCAGCCAGCAGACCCTGCGATCGAGCCTCAGCAATCCTGACCGAGGCCAACCGAGTCCAGCCGCGACCGAGCCCAGAGTCCAACCGGCCCAAGCCCGACGAGTCCTTAACCCGGTGGACCGTTCGTGACCCGACGACATTCCGATCAAAGAGGCCTAATCCGGCTGCCCAACGGACTATGCGGGTCAAACGATCTCCTACAGAGGAAATCAGAAACGTCTCTGAGTCGGAAAAAATTTTAAAACGGTAATGTCTTAAACCTAACTATAGATTCCGCTGCGTTAGAGTTTATTTCGATAGATTCGAATGTGCACATCGTTGACGTTCTTAATAGAACCCAACATTTGTACCCCTTGGTCATTCCATGGGGGTGAATCCAGTCTTAGTGTTGGCTCTATTGATGTTCGTTGGCACCTCGGATGTACTCGTTTTGAGTTTTTCAGTTATTAATATAGTTATTCTTTATAAAAAAAACTAAATTATGTTTTGTC